ATCCCCTGCGGCCTAATACATCATTTCAATTTGTTGCAAGTCGTGTTTATTTGCTGAAGTTTTCCTATGGCACTGGGCAGGGCTAGCGCATTGTGGGGGAGGCATCTCTAGGAAGAGATGGTCGGCCATCGGCTAAAACTATTTCACTTATTAACTTTCATAACTTGCAAATTGTCAACTTATTGTTGGCTCGCCATGAAATGGAGACAAAAAACTCTTCAAAGTAGTGCAAAAGTTTTATGCTGCGGCAGTTGCTCGGCTAAGTGGCTTATTATGGGGCACTGGGCGTGCCTGGGCGTGCCTCTTGTCCAGCAGTTTGCTTACAGTTCCGCAATTTGTGTGCCCACCCCTGTCCGGCTGACAGTCATATCTTCCGTTCCACCACTGAGGTGCGTATATATAATTTAATTAGCTTAAAAGTCTGGCTGTCTTTCTGATTGGGAATAGCGAGTGCGTGCCAGTGATTTATATTGACAGCTTTTCATGAATACTGCCCAATAACTGTATTAGCCAAGTGAGTTATCACCTATTGAAGACAAGTTCCGGCTCAAACTTATGTGCACAGCTCTAATGTGAGTATGTGTGTGTGGATAGTGCGGGGAGTAAATAACTTACTGTGGAGTACTCTTCATAAATACCCGAGGTCATTATATAGAGTAGAAAATTACTCAATTTAAAAGAAAATTTGAAATTAGTGTTCTTTGTTGATCAATACATTAGAAGTGTAGAAGTGTGTGTGTAGAAATATCGGGTTAGTATATTTAGTTTGATAAATCTACTTTGCGCGAATTTAAGGCTTCACGAAAAATCTTTTCATCCACATATGGAAAATGATGGGAAAATTAAAATTGGATGGGCGAAAGGCTTACGAAAAATATTCTTACGAAATATATAAATTAAATCTGAAGTTAACACTAATCCGGGCAATGACGGGTTAGACTTATTGAGCTTTGACATGTTGTATATTTATATTTTATGTAACATGCCTTCGCAAGCCAAGCCAAGCATACGAAATAATTGCTTACAAGAAATTTATACTTGTTTGAAAAATAAACAGAAAATTGATTAATGTTTTATTTTTTTATTTTTACCAACTTTTTTTTAGTTTTTAGCTCCTTTAGCGATGCCTAAATACAGTGAAGCGCTTAAATTAGACCTTCAAACATAAATTGCATTATTTTTCCTTTCTCAAGTGAAAATAAAATAATATGTTTAGTTATAAATAATTTAATTTAACTAACACAAAAAATGTGACGAACTAAAACATCGATCTATGAAAATCATTTGACCGAACTTAAAGCTAAATATATTATGTGAATCGAACCACTGACAAAGTTTGGTTCAATCTATACATAGTAGGATAAAAGCTAATTCTATTAATAAAAAGTTTATTAAACAACTATAACCCATTTAGCACCTTATCTATCCCATTTAATACCCTGTTTAAATTAAGTATCAAGCCAGTTAAATAAGACTTAGTAAACACGTGGCTTTAGACCTAGATTAATGCCAGTTTTAGAGCGTAGAATCAAGTTCATAATCGGTTGGACAGGTTCGCCCAGGGGCAACAACTCGAAATGTCTCAGCATTTTGCTGACGGTGCTCTTCATCTCGAGCATTGCAAACTTTTGGCCAATGCAGTTGCGAGGACCCGCCGAAAAGGGAGCATATGCAAAGACATCGATATTACTGCTGCTCTCCGAACTAAAACGTTCCGGATTGAATTTCTCTGGGTCAGGGAAATATTCTGGATCGCGCTGAGCGTGGTAGGTGAGCATAATGATGTTTGTCAAGGCGGGGAATCGCTTGCCATCTATGAAACGATTAGCATTATTGGCATTAAAGACACACGCTGATGCCTGGTACACTTACCCAGCGTAACATCCTCAGTTAATTGGCGGCCAATCATGGGCACTGGTGGATACAGGCGCAGCGATTCCTTAATTACGCACTCCAAATACTTAAGTTCTCCTAGATCTCGCATGGTTATAGGCTTGGACTTGTCAGCGCCAATGACGTCAACGATTTCCCGGAATGCGCGGGTTTGCAATTCCGGATGTCTTGCCAGTAGATATAGCGTGTAGGAGATGGCACTTGTTGTCGTGTCGTGACCTTCAAACATAAATGTATCCACCTCCTCGCGAATGTCATTATTACTCAGTGGTTGCCCATCCACTGAAGACTGCAGCAACACATCCAGCAGCGCCATGCGACGTTTGCTGCCTACGTCATTTTCCTCAGTACCTGTGGAGCTTTGCTCATTTAAGGACTTTTGTAATGTATCACGACGCTCCGAGATAACCTTGTCGGTAAAATCATGCATAGCCTTGATGTGCTGGTTCAGTTTGCGGAAGAGTAGCGGAAAGAAGATGCGCATGGTGCTATCGAAACGCTGCAGAGGATTCATAAAACGCTCAGCCATCATGTTGGACACACTGAAAGATCATACAGTTGTATTTGGAATGTATTTCAGACATTTTATCTACTTACATCTTCACTGACTGCACATAGGGAAAGTTGGGCTCGCCTTGTGCATTGATTTTCACGCCCATGGACGTCTCGGCTATAATATCCAAGGCAGCCAGACAGGCGACTGGGAACATATTGATCACAGTCTTGCCATCGGCTCGATCGTACAGATTCTCCGCCATAATGGCACTCTGCTGGTCGAACACCTCCACAAACTGCTCGAGTATCTTAAAGTGAAATGTGGGCGTGATAATCTTGCGACGTCTAAACCATTTTTTGCCTGTGCTTAACAACAGACCAGTGCCCAGCCAGCATTGCAGCAGATTGTATAGATTATTCTTGGTAATCGTCTGTTGACTGCTCAAAATAGACTCAATCATTCTCGCATCAGCGGTGATAAAACCGTACTCGTGGAACATGGTTAATTGTATATTTTTGCCGTATTTTTCAATTAATCGCGTTTCCAAATCCAGCATAGCTGCAATAAAGTTTAAATATCAGCTTTGCTTATCTTTATACTAAACGTTGCTAAGCTGCCTACTTTCAGCGGATTCGCCCATCATACAAATCGGTGCACTGCCCAGCAGTGGAAATTGTGGGGGTCCTTTTACTCCAGCCGCAGCCATCATGTTGTTTTGACGCCGCATTGTCAGGTAATCCCATACGAGCAGTACGGTCAACAGCAGCGCCACAATTTCCAAAAACATGATGGCCTTTTAGTTGCAAGTGAAGTTTTGTATATATAGACAATAATATCACTATCTTAAGATTATTTTTATAAATGAAACCAGCTGTTCGCTTCTATGGCCAATGCTTGACTGTTCCGTCGTACCAAGCTGTCAAGCTGTTTTGTACTTGGATGGGCCAAGTGCTCGAACAATAGCGATTAGATAAGCCAGCCAGACGACTGCGCTGCTCTGCGCCGCTTATCGGCGAGTGTTAAGCTCTCTGGACATATATTTCGTGGATCGAACTGTGCAACTGAGCAAGCTAATCAGTTTTTAATGAGTTATTGCCGCTAAACGCATTAAAATTTTGAATACAAATATTCAGTGAAAAATGATTGACAATTGTTGCTGTTGAGAGTTCACGACTAGGAGACATCTTGAACACATACCAAATCGTGAAGTCTTACGATTACGCACAAGATTTTTTTGAATATTTGTATAAGACGAAATATATGTGTGTGAATATCTCTGAAAACTCGCGTTCAGAAATACTTGTGTCAAACGATCCTATTCTACTTACAATCGCAGTTTGAAACTCATTTATTTGTGGTGGCAGGGTATTAATATTTGTCTTTATGTATTATTAACAAATACTAACATATGCATATACTGATTTGTTTATAGGTATTCAGAGTCCAGAATATTGTAGATAGAAGCCTCTATGGTGCCAGTAGGTTACATAGTTCAAGAATATTTTAATTTTCGGATTCCTTCACCATTTCCCTATAATATTATAAATAAATTATTTTGCTAAATATATAAGTTACGGTAATTATTAGTCGGATACCCTCGATCATTATTGCTTGCAAGAAGACAAAGCTTTGACTACTAGCATACATATATTTAACTCAATAATATATCATTTGATTATGGTGTACGTATGTGTAATTTAAATAGATCGAGGGTATAGTTGAGTCTAACTCTCCTTTTCAATTGCGCTCTTGCGCTTACATTTAGTGGCGGTTCAACAAATCGATTAAGAAAGAACATCATCAATATACTACGACTCAAAAAGTAAATAATAATGCATTAAAAAATTACGCTCGACTAAGTAATACTCTTTGCATAGGTTAACTAGAAGTTAACAAGTATTTGTAAGAAACTTTGTTAACTGATTTTATGATCCTATGTCATGGCAGATAATAATTAATCAATAATCCACTGAAAATAAGCGGTTTTTTAATATAAGGGAACCATTGTCTATAAATGTATGCTCAAAACAGCATTTATTTATCAATGTTGTTTAATTAACAGTCTATAATAGTGTATCTTGGTCTATGTAATAAACACACAGCACTTAAAAGTTGTACAAAGCGTGTAAGTAACAGAAGAAAAAATGAAGTCTACAATATTTATACATTTCTTGACCTAGTCGAGCCCGTTTATTTCACAGACGTTAACAGCTCTGATACGAGATTGGGTATGAAGGCTAAAGTTACTTTTGTTGGTTAACAGAATAAGCGAAAAATATTTAATATTTTTAAACTGATCAGTTGGATAATATGTAATATATAAGATTATTTTTCAATGACACTTAATGAGTTTTATTAAATACATGTTTTACATGTGCATGTGTTATTAGCCAAACATACATACATTCGTGTTTTGTTTGTTTTAAGTCTCATGCTGGCTGTCAAAATTATTTGTGCTGACTGAGCATTAGTTGACAGTTCTTGCGCGGAATAATCATGATAAAGCGTGAAAGTCGCTTAGATAATATAAGTATTATTAGCCCTAATCCGTCGATACGCTATAAAAGCACATTATACTCAACTATTGGACTTGCAGTCCAAATTACGCAAAGAGAGTGAGTGAGTGGGTTTGATATGGCTATTGAGTCATTTCTATCGATAAGACAGAAGCTTTTTGATAAGCAGCCAAAGTTGGGTTAGGTCAAGGAAAAAAAAATTTTCTTATCGGTATGTTTATTATTTTTAATCGCTGAATATACATTTTAAATGAGTTTGTCGTGCGCTAACAAATTGTTATACCTTTTGATGTTGTTGAATTGCATTGAATCTGAATTTGCTCAATTTCCTCTAATCAACTCAATTAGTTTAAATGTAATAATAACTGTTGTGGAGCAGACGGCAAATGCGAAACGAGCTCAACCACAAAACGTACAAAATGTTGTGGCTGTGCAGCGGGTAGCAGGAACGGTCGGAGGTCACACAAAGCCAATTTGCATAGCTACACTGCGAAACAAAAGTATTTGCATATTGTATGACTGCTCTGACGTCAAGCCACAGATAATCACACGTGCCAGGGCCATGTCCTGACCGTTGTTTCTTTATTTCCGTTTGTTTTTGTTTCCTGTTTTTTTTTGTCTTTCCTTTTGTTTCTATCTTTTTTCGGTTTATTTGCAGGAGCTTGTTTTTGCTTTTAATTTCCTACACGGTGTGCTGTTTATGATTACCAAACTACCCGCAGCGCTGTGTAAATACGGTTGCAGAAGCAGTCGAAGGAGCAGAAGGAGCCGCACTTTCGATCTCTGTCTGTGGCATTTGGATGATTAATGTGTTTACACGAGCAGCGACCGTTGCGGTTGAGTCTGATTTGAAAGGGTTAAAAGGCGTAAACACATAGACACACACTCACACACACTCACACCCACGATTTACACGCACACACACACAGCAAAATACTGTTTATTTATTATTCCTTCATTGGAATTTACTCTCACATGGGAGCAAGATATTAAAAACGCTCAGTTGACCTTTTACCCATTTTTTCATTTTTATGTTTGTTCTTATTTTTATTTGTTTCTGCGTCAACAATTTAATTAGTTAAAAAGCTGGAGGCCTCAAGCCAATTCATACAATTTAAACAGTTCCATGCACTTGGTGTCTCATCTTGGCCGCGTCTGCCATTTGCTTTCATTTAGGGGCTAAGGGGCTGTCGCATAATCTTTTTGCACCATGTTAAGTGGCTGGAATTGAAATTTACGATTGCAAGGAAAGGTAACGCAAATAAATGTGTGCCAGCTGGCTCGTGGCCATGAGCAGAGATGTACTTCATATAGATCACGTGACTCACGAAATAATTTAAAAAAAGTTTATAATAATTTATTGCAATCAATTTTCAAAAAACATTCGCTTTAAATGTTAGAAAGTGTAACGATATATATTCTTACATGATTTGGATATCATTCTAAGTATATCGTAAAACAATATTGCCATATTTTTATTTTTGAACTGAACATAAACATTAATATCAAAATTGTTGGAAAAAAATTAAAAAGAGTTTGAAATTATTTGTTTCATTATGTTATATATTTATATTTATATCAATTGTTTAAAGATTTCCTTAATATTATGTGTGTTTTCTAATGCAAAAAGAAAATAAATATTGTTCCGCGACCACAGCTCTGCGATTACAATTTCTTGGGAAACAGTTTGTGTGCGCCTGTGACCTATGTGTAAACAAAGCCGTGTCACGTTGCCATATCCAGGGTAAGTTTTAAATTATTTAAGTGGCCTAGTGTCAGGCCACATGCGAGCTGTGTCGGGGGGCCAGCGGCGGGCAGGTGCCAATATTAAATAGTTTAAATGAGAGCCAGAACTGGGCAGGTTGGGTCTGACTGACTTTATGGCCGTGATAAGCAGGTCAGACCCTTTTGATTTGGTTTAGGATTTGCGGTTGTCGCTGCTCCAGTTGATATACCCCTGTTTGCCTTTTAACTCGTTAGTTATGCGCCAGGCCGAGGGATATGAATCCTGCCGTCCCAAATGGGGGAGCGAGCGTTGGGCTTAAGGTATATTTAAAAGGCCAGTGCCGCATGTTTGGGGTTTTGTGTGTGTTATAATATGACACCTTTGCCAATGGTAATTTATCACCTCAGCACTAGGGACATATGCTTTGGGCCAGCCGCTGCTTGTCAGTGTATGGTCGGTAGGTTATGGGTGTGAGCGTGTTTTATAAGCACTGGGGATTAAGCCAGCACTGACTTTAATGTGGGACCCACTGATTCTGGCTGGCAGATAATTAGTGACCGTCCAGAAGATTTATGCATGCGTGTAAATGGCTTAAAGTAGCTACCAAATAAAACCAAATTAAATGTAAACAAGCTAAGCGTCTAATTAAATCGCAGCAAAAGGCCAATGGTCTACCCAACTCAGCGCTGTCAAAAATGTGAAATGTTCCATCAATCTGCTTAGCAGGCGGCAGCTGGCACCATTCATAGTGCATGTCATAAGGCTGACATCCTTCTTCTACAACTCCCTGCCCGTTAATTAAGTTTAGCCAACTTAATGTCAACGTTTTATGCACCTTTATCAAATGTGAAACTTTCATACTAAAATGGCTAATCCTTCTTCAGCAATGTGCCTGCTAAAGCTAAGCTCGTTTCTATTCCGAGACCTGGAACGGGCTGTCCACATGGTCGAATGGGTTATTTACTCTTAGCATATATTTTTCAATTATTTACATATATGTTTGTATGTATATTCACTTAACATTTTGTTTTCTCTTTTAATTTTTTGCAAAGCACATGCAATTATTCGGCAGTTTGGTTTACAATTCATTGGATTTGCAAGTCTATTTGCTCAACACTTGGCCAAAACAATTGGAAATGCAAATGTTGTTTTATAAATTGTATTGAATTTTGTTGCAAGTTTTGCATTAATTTTTCGGCTGCTGTCTGTGGCCATATCTCAACAAAATCAATGCAAATTTTAATATCACTTCTGTGGATTTCGGTCTGTGTTTATTTTGCTATTGAATTTTTCGCACAATTTTCAAGCAGTTTTATTTATCTTTTTTGCTTACAACTGTTGAGTTGCAGTTAAGAGGCCACAAATTTGTTAGTCGTTGGATTTTTAGTCGTTAGATTCTTGTCGAATTATTAACCAATTTGTAGCTGGATTTTACTGCGTTCTGATGAGGCTGGCAACAAAGCTGCCAACTGAACCTGACTGTGCCTTGGCTTCATTTGGTATGCGTGACGTGTAGGAAGCTGCTTTGCCAGCGGGTGGTTTTTGGTTGCTTGGTTTCCTAGTTGTCTGCTCATCCTTATCATCATCATTATCATCAACATTAGCAACGGCATCGGCAACAGCAGTGGAAGTAGCAACCAAAGAACAGCAACATCCAGTGCCGCAGATCAAAGAACTTTGACAAAAATTAAGCTCACCTATGTATTTGCCACGTCTGCGCTAATGAGCCATAAAAATGGTGCCTAAACGGCAGCCGAGCTTAGCCCAGTTTCCAGGCGCATCTCCAAGGCTGCCCTCATGGCTGTCATCTCAGATATCAAACCTAAATGTTGGCAACCTCAGGCACATACTACACTGTGCATCTCTATTGAGAAAATGAAATGAAGGCAAAAGTGTGCAATACGATTCTGAAGATATGTGCTAAAAATCCAACGAAAACAAAAAGTTTCTAAAATTATAGTTGTCTATTACAGATTACTGTCTATAATAGATTATCAAAAATCTTTTTTTTATTTATTATTAATTTACACAATCAACTTATTTTTAAATCTTCTTAGAGAAAATCTTGTATATTAATACGGTAAGCAAAATAAGTTCTTTTGCTATTACAATTTTAATAACTATAATATTAACTTAACTTAATTGTTTACTAGTTTTTTTTTTTCACCTGAATTGGTGGTAGAACCTTGTGTATTGCTCTAGTAATAAAGGTGCTTGTCCCTTGTCAGTCATATAGTTTATCTTAAGAGTAAGATTAAATTAAAAGTTTTCCGAGTTTTTATATAAACAGGTAGAAATGGTTATATAAACTTTGCTGTTGTCAATACTCTCTCTATATAGCGTTATATCTTATGAATGAATTATTTATTTAGGAAAAAATGCACAACGTTGTAAGCTTAACTATTTTTATATTTTTGTGAATCCCCAACATTCTACAGAAACTCTACTTCTCTAAAGAAAAATATGTTTCTGACTTGTTTCACGTTATCTAAGTTAGCTGCTGCCAAACTTTTGTTATCGACTGTCGCCGCATAAAAAAATAAAAATAAAAAAGCATAGAAATGTTGTAAAACATTATGTTAATAATCGCACAACACTTTGTTTTGTTGTACACTCGTGTGCTCGCATCGTTTTGTATTCAATTCGGTATCTTTTGGCATGGATGCCTGGGCGACTTGGCGGCGTCGGTGCGACAATAAATCAAAGTTTATAATAATAATCTCAAATTCAAAATGGCTGGGCAAAAGTTTTTAAAGCTGCGATCCGGCTGCTGCTGAGGTCTCAAATTAAACAGAAACTTTGAACCACTGCTAAATATTTGGACAACGGTTTTGAGCAGCGACAACCCTAAAGTAGCCCCAGCAACTGTTTTATTATTAACTTCATTTGCTGGGGCGCCACAAAGCGGCAAAGTTTAACTTGCACTACACCAAAAACCGTAGAAAAAAATGAAAGACATAACATAAAATAGCAGTTATAAAAAGCGCACGAAACTTGTTTGCTCAAGAGCACAAGTAAAAAAATTTTATTAGCCACTGCCGTTGCCTTTGCGACGCCTGGCGCCCGGCACTCCAAAGTTTTGCCAGCGTACAGAAATACTTATAAGAAAATCAATCCCTACGGCCAAGTCAGGAATTCTGAGTATTTTATTTATCAACTCACGCAACGCGCACCCACAAAAAAAAAAAAATAAACCAAAAAATATATATAAAACCGAAAAAAAAAATTAAATAAAATAAAATAAAAAAAATGCAACCTGAACAATTTCCAGAGTTTCAATTCAACTTATGAAACAGCCCGCGGCCATATCGATTTCACGCTTGACGCTAAGAAAATTAACTTTGCCAAAGTAGCAGCGGCAACTCCAAAAACCAACAGCCGGCGGGGAAAGAGCAGCAGCAGCAGCAGCAGTGGGGTAAGAGATGGAAAGCGTCGCAGATACTTCGATGCGTATGACAGTGGGTGTTGCAGGCAGCAAAGAAACCGGAACAGGAACAGCAGCAATTCCTAAGCCCTGCACGTACTGTGGGTCCCGAAATATTGTAAGTGATTTGGTGAAGTTTTGCCACATACACAAGAAAGGCAGTCGCAAAAAAGTTTCACAAACATGTGTGTGCGCGTCCAAAGGTGTTTCAAGCTGGAGCTGAAGCAGAGCAAAAGCAGAAGCTGGAGCAGGGCCACGTGCTTGCCATGCGAGAGACGTTCTTGTCTGGGATTCTGTGCGCCTAATTTGCTATATATTTGCAGGGAGCTGAGACCGAAGGACGTTAGTTGGAGGTGGGTGGGCCAATTTTCATAATTCACTTGCGCCTGCAGTCAGACTTTGAACTTCACTTGAAAACTGGTCATTAGCTGTACGCATTGCAAGCACTTTTCAAATGTCATTTGCCATTTGGTGTGGCAACGATTTTGTGGCCTGTACCCCATGCTTCAACTTCATTAGACACATCAGTGGGCTGCCCCAGCGTGTGTGTGTGCCTGACTGTGTCTGTGTGTATGAGTGGGCGTGGCAGCCAGAAACGCCCAATGCAATTACTGCAAAAGTTCGCGCAAACAACTTTTTGACTTTGGCGCGTGAAATTCAATGAAATTGCCATTATTTGGAGCAATGGACAATGAATGCTGCACAGAGTACTGGGAGCAGGGTTACGGCGAGAAGATAATGGCGGCACGGGGTGCTGGTCAGAGCCGCGGCACACAAAATGCACGCAGACAACAATGAGCTATGTCAAAGACCACAGCGTGCCGGTTATGGACAGGCTGTGTGCACAGAGACATCTAGAGAGCGAGATAGAGAGAT